ACGAAACTAGATAGGATTCTACACTGTTGAACTAAAGTGCCTTCATTGGAACATTCCATTTCAAATTAATTCACAACTATTTTTCACTTTGATGTATTTTTTTAAATTATTGCACAACCAGAACACTACAATGCATTGTTTAAAAGTGAGCTAATGTGGATTTGCAGGCTCATAGTAAGTTTAAGCTTAGGACCTATCATGACTTGTCCACTATTGCTAAATTATCAGACTGTTTATCTAACATCTGAAACTAGATAATTAAATATTGGGAAGACTGAAGTAATTGTGTACAGTCTACTAAATTAAGGCATCTGAGCAATGATTGGTATTATATACCAGAAACCAGACAAGTCTGAAATGCTTTCAAAGTACTTCCCTCTTTTTATAGTTGGGTGTCAAACAGGTTCAGAAAATATTTACCAGCATGCTCCCAGGACTAGAGGGTTCGAGTTATAAGGAGAGGCCGGGACTTTTCTCCCACTGGAGCACAGGAGGTTGAGGAGTGACCTAATAGAGGTTTATAAAATCATGAGGGGCATAGATAAGGTGAATAGCAAAAGTCTTTTCTCTAAGGTGGGGGGAGTTCAAAACTAGGGGCATATTTTTAAGGTGAGAAGAGAAAGATTTAAAAGGGACCTGAGGGGAAAATTTTTCACGCAGAGGGTGGTTTGTACGTGGAATAAGCTGCCAGAGGAAGTGGCAGATGCAGGTACAGTTACAAACATTGTAAAGACATATGGACAGTTACATGAAAAGAAGGGTTTAGAGGGATATGGGCCAAATGCTGGCAAATGGGACTAGATCGGTTTAGGATATCTAGTCAGCATGAACGGGTTGGTCTGTTTCCGTGCTGTAAAATTCAATGACTGCTATGATATGTTTCACTCTGCTCCGAAAAATCTTGTGTCCCAACATCGTAAGGACCTGCCAACTCAATTACCACATCTTTTTAAGCACATTTTCTTTTGCGCATCCACTTCTTTTCTCTCTGCCGAATGCCTTTTTAAAAATGTTTAAATGGGAATAATATTTTCTAAAGCGCTCAGCGCGTTGTTTAAAAGCACTAGAAGCCTTCTAGCATTTTAAAAATTGCATTCAAGTGCTTGGGAACATCTTTTAACGTCACAGAGAATGTGCAGGCTCTTATGACACATGAAAATTAAAACGTTTCACATTCGTCTACTCTGGGTCCAATGTGGCTCCTTGGATGGGGCTTAAAATTATTGGTGACAGCAGTGGCCCTTTCATCGTTCAGCTAAACATCAACACACAAAGGGAAATGATAAGGGAAATGTCAGCAAAGTATTCGATTGCAGGGCCATTAGGGCAAAGCTCAATTCTGTCCATATTATACGTAGCATTCACATGCTTCTTCATTTTGATTTGAGATTTTCTAGCATCTCCACTGCCATCCAGTGGATCCCAAATCCAGGGATCTTGCTGGAGCAGTCTATTTTCAAATTACTGCTTAGAGTATGAATGGAGACCATTAAAACAAACCTCAAGCTTTGCACAAAACACTGCTTTAAAGACAAAGGTCAAAATGTTCATTGGCAGAATTTGAAAAACCTTGAAAGCTGCTCAATTGTAAATTTTTCTGAAGAAGGGTCCCAACCCGAAACTTTCCTGCTCCTCTGATGCTCCCTGACCTGCTGTGTTCCCTCAGCTCCACACTGTGCTATCTCTGACTCCAGCATCAGCAGTTCTTACTACCTCCAATTATAAATTGTGTTTACTAAGAATTTATATATAATGAAAGGTTAAAACGATTTCCCTGCAAGGAAGAATTATGTAATAGCTCCTGAATCAAATAATTTTCTCTGAATATACATAGACATCTAATTAATAAACATACTTCACTTTCCTTAAACAATAATTTGAGAAGTTAATATAGAAAACAAGCCTAGACACAGCTATGTAAGTTAGTCACACACCATGTACCCGGGACATTTTTTTACCCACTGTTCAACAGTGGTATTTTACAGTGTGTGGGTTGCCCATACATTCAAATCACATTGCCAGAGCTACAGGCATCGACTCCCACACCAAAGACTTGAGCACAAAACCCAGACTGGCACTTCAGTGCAGTACTGAAGGAGCGTTTCACCTCTGGGAAGTCTTGCTTTTGTTTTAAGTTCATTCACGGGATTTGGGCATCGCTGGCTGGGTCAACATTTATTGCCCACTCCCAGCTGCCCTTGAGAAGGTGGTGGTGAACTGCCTTTTTGAAGCACTGCAGTCCATTTAGGGTAGGTAGACAGACAATGCCATGAGGGAGAGAGTTTCAGGATTTTGACCCAGCAACAGTGAAAGGAAGAGATGCTAAACTGATATCCTATCTCCCATCCCCTGCCCCCCTGCAGGCAGATGAACAAGATCCCATAACATGATTAGAGAATGAGTAAAAAGGTCCTCCTGGTATCCTGGTCCATACTGTTCCCTCAACCAGCATCACCAATAATCTGCAAGGCCATTTGTTTAATTTGCAATGTGCAAATTGGCTGCCATATTTCCTATATTACAACAGCAGATTACACTTCAAATGTACTTCGTTGGCTGTAAAGCGACATCCTGAGATCACGAACTGCATTATAGAAATGCAAGCTTTTAAACCAATATTTTAAATAATCTTCCACTACTACTGCCATTACAGTTATTCCCAGCTTTTGCATCTCCTGCAGTTATGAAGGTAACATGCTCACCAATAATACCTCAAATGCAGGTGGAAACGGTGAACAATGGAATTCTGAAATAAATGGGGAACTTAAAAAGCTTGCAGTCAATATCCAAAAGTGGAAAAGATATTCATGTTTCCGAGGAGATCCCTCATCAATATGTCTCCCAGGAATTTGGAGTCTTCCAGGTGAGTTCAGTCTCAACTCTATACCCGGATTTGGTCATCTTGCGTCAAGACCCATTGAGTTCCACTGATTTGCTGACCTGGCTCACAGCTCCAGCCTGTCATTGGGCTAATAATCCAGAGAAGCCCAATCCAAAATAAGCGGTGGGCTTGCCAGTGACATGCATGTCCTGAGACTGAGCAAGTGATCAAGTTAGGTCTGTTGTTTTGTGGGCACATGTGTATGTGGGCTATGGGGGTAAAGGAATTCTTCTTTCACAGCTCCAGACATCTCTGAAGGCCAATTGCCAATGGTGGTATGAGTTGGACAAAGACTATGTTTACTTGTATTGTGTGCTGGGTGAACATGCAAACCGCTGTTGGACTGATGTGCTGGCAGTCTTCCAGACAGCCAGTGCGTCTGGTTAACCTGCGCCAAAGCATTCTATATTAAAGTAAGCATATTTTGTGGCCTTACACGAACAGTAGGTCCATTCAATACTGTATAAGTAATAACTTGACCCATGTGGAGTTCTCAGTGGATTGGTTTGAAGACTTGGAAATATGTTCATCAGTCCGGACTACTCAGTGTGGTGGACTGTTACCTATCCTCCTAAAATGATCTAACATGCTGCTTGGTTACAGCAGTTGAGGATGGGCAACAAAATGCTAGCGTTATCAGAAACACCCAGTCCCACAAAATTTTTTTTTGAAAAATAGCTTATATTGATTTCATAAGTGACGAGTTGAGCACGGGTTAGAAGAAGAAACAAAAAGGTTTATTCCAATTGCATTTGAGCAACTGTTTCAATGCCAGGTCAGAAATGGCCAAAGCAGCAATCAGGGTGATAGATGGCTTCTCACCACTCCCCAGCTCATTACAAACTCTAGCAGAGGCAGTTTCTCTTAATAAGAGAATGAGGGAGACCCAACTAGGTTGGCAGGGCAGTCAGCTGGGCATGAGAAACTTGAAACCGTAGGGAACTAGACTCAAGACTGTGATTACCGATTGTGTGCTTCTAGAGCTTGGTGGTTCTTGCACAGTGAGTGAGATTGAGAGAGGAGCTGTGAATTTTCAGCTGTATTAATGCTGGTGTTGAGTATTGATTGTTTCACGTCTGGAACTGGTGGTGGTGGGAGCAGTTTGAGGGGATGAAATGAGAACGTCACACAACATCACTGCAGCACACCCTCCTTCCAAAAACTCATGGAAAACAAATACACTAAACAGCTCCGTAACTGTGTCTGAGAGCACATCGCAACTTCCCTTGTAAAAATAACATTGCATTGCACTACCTACACGGTGAGCTTCCCTGGAATACATTCTCATGCTTCCACATCAATACATTGTTATCTCAAATTTCTAATCTAATTGTTTACCAAAGTGTGGAACTGGATGAACACAGCAGGCCAGGCAGCATCAGAGGAGCAGGAAAGTTGACGTTTCAGGTCGGGGCCCTTCAGAAATTTTCTGGAGAAGGATCCTGACCTGAAACATCAACTTTCCTGCTTCTCTGATGCTGCCTGGCCTGCTGTGTTCCTCCAGCTCCACACTTTGTTACCTCTGACTCCAGCATCTGCAGTTCTTGCTTTCTCAGATTAGAAATTTGAGCTTGCCTCCCTCAGGCCCTTCTCTATGATATTGACTTGCTGCCAGTTTTCCTGGTCCGTGTTTCAGGGTAGTAGTGCCACGTATCACAAAATCTGTATCTGGGGAAATCAGTAGAAGTGACAGAGCTCACATTTCACTGTCTGATTCTGTGATCAGTGAAGCATCCATCTACCCCACCACTGTTTATTCAAAATATATCTTTTTAAAGTTGTAAATAAAAGACCAGCAGAAAGTGAAATGTAAACAGAGAATTAACTGGACTGTTATTGACAAAGATTACGTTCCTCTCTCAACATGGATTTTTAATGAAGAGTTATCACCACATAACAACTCTAACGACATATCTGTTAAACTTACGACATGAAGTAGCGGAATTAGTGCTTTGAAAGGTAAACATTCTATTTATTGATGTGTGCCCATTCAATTCTGCTACAAAAATAGTCCAGTAGGCGACTAAACAGTGGACAAAGTATGCATGGTAAGATCATCTACGAGTTGGGAGCCCACAGCATCTATCTTCGCAAGTTAGGTCCTGAAGGTTAGGTGTTCCACCTTGCCCTCGCCTTAGCTAAATCTCTTCTAAATTCCCTTCGAGACCTCCATCGTTGCTCTGGGGGACCTGACCCTTTTTTTTTATTCCCCCACCCCTGTTGCTGTGGCTGAGACAGGACCTGACTGGGGGAGGAGGTCAGAGAGACACACACTGAGGACTCGAGCGCAAACCACCCTCAGTGAAGCTAACACGCAGCACGTTAAAATTTTTCTTTTTTTTTGTTGTCGCACGAAATACCGCAAAAAGCTGAAAAGAAAACGCCACAAAACAGGTGAGTCAGTTAAATGGCCGATAGAACATCTGTGAGGGACAAAGTGTTAAATTTGCTCTTTAGAACTAACGATAGTACACTCATTTTAAAATCTGCCATATCTTAATTTAAAATACTTCACTCCACCACACCACAGTCGCTTGGTTCAAAAGGTTTAGTTCATGGCACTGCGTTGGAAACCAACCTGGTTGACTCAAGTGTTCGATCAAATGGCGCTCGCAAGAGTTAGGCCGCCACCACAACGTCACAAAATCCTGGGCGCCGACCTGTCATTGGTGACGGTCCTCCGGAGCTTCACCCCTCGGCGGATGGCGGTGAGCATGTCCTCGCCGGGAGAGGGTGGCAGGCTGCCGGCGTCTGGCACCGCGGGGAAGGGGAACTGTCCGTCACCCAGAGCCTGGGCGCTGGCCACCAGCTCGCCGAGCTTCTCGACCAGGCTGTGGCGGTTGGCGGCCAGCTGCTGCTCCTCCTCGCTGGAGAGCACGGCGACGGTGCCGCCCGGGTACACGGAGACCTCCGCGGCGGCGGCGGCGGCGCCCCCCCATGCGGCGTTCGGCAAGCTCAGCCGCTTGGGCGACGACTTGGCGTACTCCGTGGCGCTCGGCGAGGTGTCTTCGCCGCCGAAGAACACGCACTCCTCGCTGCCCACCCTCACCGGCCCCGGGCCGTCAGGAACCGTGGGGGTCTTCACCGGCACGATGGGAGGCCGGATGGGGATGGGGCCCGCGTTGGACAGGGCCCGGCGCACCGACGGCTTGGTGGATGGTGTGCGCCGGATGGTGGCGACCCCCGGGGTGACAGAAACGGCTGGCGCGCTGCCGCCCGAGGGCAGCCCCGCCGTCGAGGCCGGCCGCTTTGTCTGGAACATTCTGCGGTAACTCTGTGCGATGTCGCTGTTCCGCGGGATGGTCGACGACCTGTCAAACTCGCTCTGGTGCTCCGCCTCCACATCGCCGTTCACCGAGTAGCAATCATAATCTGAAACTGTGCAGAGAGAGAGTGTGGTTAATAGGTCCTTTACAGTAGGCCCCTCAGTAATAGACATGAGTAACTCAGATACAGACTCAGATATATGGATGGGTACATGAATAGGAAGGGTTTAGTGGGATATGGGCCAAATGCTGGCAAACGGGACTATATTAATTGCAGATATTTGGTCAGCATAGACAAGATGGACTAAAGGATCTGTTTCCATGCTGTACATCTTTCCAGGACTGGTCTCTCACTTAGCCTTTTCAGGGAGTACAAATTGGATAATTTCCCTTTGGGGGAGCTTAATAATGGGTCTACTAACTAACTGGAGCACAACAGGTTCCATAACTTGACATTCCATGTTGAATACAGCCAAGTGAGGCTTTTAATCCTAAGGTACATGTTGGCAAAAGAAACCGGTATCTCTGGCCCACTTTGGTAAATCACAGCCAGCAAGATTCCTCCTCCTCACACAGTAGGTAGGGTATTGGGGTCAGTCACCAGTTCAATGGATCCATTCAACAGTCAGAGTATTACATTGAGCTGTATAGTCCAGGAAGGTAACAAGGTGTAGAGCTGGATGAACACAGCAGGCCAAGCAGTATCATAGGAGCAGGAAGACTGACGTTTCGGGAAGGGTCTAGGCCCGAAATGTCAGCCTTTCTGCTCCTCTGCTGCTGTGTTCATCCAGCTCTACACCTTGTTATCTCAGATTTTCCCGCATCTGCAGTTCCTACTATCTCTGGTCCAGGAAGGTACCAGCTTTCATTAACTGTCTCTGTAGTCTAAGGTATCTTAGTGGGGTCAGTGGAAAGGGACACTGCAAATGGCCGTAATAAATCTGAACTGAGATTGATCACTTAACATTCCCTTGGTCATTCACTTTTATTTTTAAAAAGTCTTCCTTCACATTTGAAAGAGGACCATTTTTCTGGGAAGACCCGGCCCATATGGATTTGCACAATAGGATGGGCATTCAAGGGCAAGAAAATAAGAATGGAAATACGTAGTCTAAACCATGTTACATCTGAGAATCTTTCTATGAGCCAGATCAGAGTTTTTCAAGTATCTTCATCTTCGGTTCTCATAAACTTGAGATTTTGTCTGTCAGATTATCCAGCAAGGAAACTGGTATCTTTACTAAACTGGGGGCAGTTCAACAATCTCCCATGCCAACTGTAAGTCACTGGCAATGTTGAACATCTTGGTCAGTAAGCAACTGCAGACAAATTGAACTGAGGAGATTATTGCACCTTGTCCGTTCAGTTAGTCCACCATAGGTACTAGGTATTGGGTGAATACAGTATGCTCTCTTTCTCCATAATGCACTAAAGTTTCAATCAGCTCCTTTACAATCGCACAGAATATAAAGCCATGTAACAGGTCATTCAAGCCCGCTGGGCCATGTCATTGTTCACACTCAAGTCTAGACTTCTCCTCTTCCATCTGTCTCAACTCATCCCTTCTGTAAACCTTTCCGTTCCTTCTTCTGTCCTGTACTCAACTAGTCACTACTGAAATCAATTTAAGGTTCTGTTTTAAATATTTTATGGGACTGGGCATTTCTGATAACGCTAGCATTTGGTTGCGCATCTCTAACTGTTGCAACCAAGTGGCATGCTAGATCATTTTAGGAGGGTAGGTAACAGTCCACTAAGTAGTGCAGACTGAATAAAGATGGCCAGTTTCCTCCCTTAAAAATATTAATTAGCCAGAGGGGTCTTTTTAATATGAGAATTCAAGATAGCTAGTCTCAGGTGACGTGAAACTATCAGTTCCAGATTTTTATTAGTTATGAATTTGAATATTCCACCGGTGGAATTTGAATCTGTGTCCCCAGAGCATTAGCCTGGGTCTCTGGATGACTATTGCAATATCATTACCAACACACCACACTATTGCAAGTTCCATATTATAACAACCCATTGATGAAGAATTTTCTCATTATTCGCCTCTTAGGTTCAATAAGAATGATCTTGTATTTACAGTCCCTAGTTTTGGAAATTGAATTTGCTAAGATACAAAAATTGACGGAAAAACAACTTCTGAGGAGGACAGAGTCTACAAAGGGATACAAACTGAGTGGGCAAAAAAATATCAGATGACATATGACGTGAAGAATTTTGACAGGAAAAACAGAAAAACAGAATGTTATTTAAATGGACAGGGACTGCAGAATGCTGCAGTCGAGGCATTTAAGCATCCTTGTACATGAACCACAAAACAGTAAGCTGTTACAGCAAGTAATTAGGAAAGCAAATGAAATGTTGGCTTTCATTGCAAAGTGGATGGAATAAAAAAGTAGGGAAATTTTAACGCAACTGTACAGGGCATCGGTGAGACTAAACCCAGAAGTCCTGTGTACTGTTCTGGATTACATTACCCATGCAGGGATATACTTAATACTTGCATTAGGAGCAGTTTAGAAAAGTTAATTTGGTGGTTCCTGGGCTGAAGGGTTATAAAGGGAAGGTTGAGTAGATTGGGGAAGGCTTATGAACGTTTACAATAATAAGAAGTGACCTTATTGAAAGTTAGATTTTCGATCAGAAAGAGTGTCATATGGTTATTTGGGGTAGGCAGGAATATGATCAAACAAATGGCTGACTCCTACTCCAAGATCTTATGTTCATATAAAAGATTCTGAGGACGCTTGTCAGGGTGGATGTTGAACTTGTGGGAGAGTCCAGAACCAGAGGCACAGTGTTAAGTGTCCTCCATTTAAGAAGGGGATGAGGAGGAATTTCTTCTCCCACTAGGTCATCAGTCTTTGGAATTTTCTTTCCAGACAGCAGTGGACAACTGGTCATTAACTATGTTCTAGCCTGAGTTGAACAGATTTTTGATTGTCGAGGAAGACCAAAGTTATCAGGCACCTGCAGGAAAATTGAGTTCAGGCCATCAATGAGACAAGCCACGATCTTATTGAATGGTGGAAGAGGCTTGAGGGTCCAAATAGGCTACTCCTGCTTCTGTTTTTTTGAAGATTTCATGATGCTACTGATGAGTTAAAAAGTAATTAGAATGAAAGGGAATCCCAATGAAAACATCTGTGCAGTTTCATACATCAATAAACGCTTGCAGTTTTTCTGAATACCCGCAAAATATCGGTTTAAAAAGTGCATTACTTTATTTCAAATTTTTGCAATGCATGTATATGCTCACTGAAGCAGGGATTCATTCATGGCTGACTGAAGCAACAACGTGTTTGGATCACAAAACTGTACAGCACACTAATAAGCTACCCTGTGTTAGTGTGGCCAGAGCCATGCAACATTAGAGAGGTCAGTATACCCAGAGTGCTCTAGCAAACTGTCAAGACAAGTAAATCTACAATGCTTTCTATTATGCAGTTCAAACATATTTCCTTTCAGTATGTTACAGTGTGGGAACTGAGAATATGCATATCAGAGACATACAGTATAGAAAGGGAGCAACTCTGATTTCCCGTGTCTATGATCTGCTGATCAATGCGGAATGCATTACTTGTGCAGAGGTAAACACCTGGAAAGGGGGTACAGAGAGATCTCCTGACAGAAGTACCTTGGGAAGGAATGGTGTCTTCGGAGCAGGATGGAGTAGTGGTTTGGGTGCTGTAACCGCTGGAGTACTGCAGAGAGTCGCGGCTACTCTTCTGGTGTTCAAGGCTGAGCCCGCGGGTCAGCACCATGGCCAGATCGCTGGCTGCTGTAGAGATTTCCTCCCCATGCTGTGAAAAGAATGAGAGATGCTCACTACAAACAACTAAAAAGTCTCTCCCTCTCAGAGCGTTCTACATCATTCAGCTGACATTAAGAGAACCCCACTGCCTGAGGTTACCCAACTATCAGCCTTCATCCTTTTTGTAAGAGATATGTATTGGCACTTTCTGCCCCTCTGTCAGATTGGCCTCTGCCTACTGCGTTTCTACTTATTGGGTCAGGGTGGAAAGGGATTGAACTCAAATACCCGCCTTTTTTATTGAAGATCTCCAATGATGGCAGGTGCATTTCCAGTATTTTCTGCATTTGGTTGTCCTTTGTGTTTTACACGGCCATTAAATACCAGTCTGCTGACCATGTGATAACGTCTCACCACAGTTACTGGAGGGTATAAAGGTTGCCCTGCAAAACGATATGGGAGCAGCGAGATGAACAGGTCTTTGTACACAGTCCCTGAGCATTCCAAGACCGGACAAGTGCCAGCAAAACAATACAAGGAATAACAGGGCCGTGTAGGTATTGTAAAGGCTTATCAAATCTATGCACCCACTGAGGAAAGGGCACTTAACTGAATGAGAGGACAGACTCCAGGGGCTGAATGGCCTACACTGTTCCTATCTTTTTCTTTTCCAGCTGACGTCTTAGGCTGAATCATGTACTGCAGATACAGCGATACCACTTTGATAACTGGTCATTGCCCTGGCCTGTCCCTTTCCAGATTATGGGGGAGACACCCATTCGTCTTAAAGGCAAGATCTCGAGACCTTGATGTGCAACACATCCTGGCACACAGGTGGTGATGTTGTTTGGGGCGGGGGAGGGTGGAATGGTGAGGGTTGCAAACGTGGAAGGATGGCGCACTCACATACTGTACCTTAGCAGCAAATGATGCTGCTGTCATGCGAGGCCTCTGTATCTCATCCACACCAATCCCCGCATAGACCACAGTGCCCGAGACCGTCTCTGCCTCCCGATAGCGTTCCACTGCTTCCTTGCGTCTCTGCAAAGTGTTCACCGTTGGTTGGTCATATGGACCAGGTTTTGACCAATCCTGCAAAGTTGAGGGAAGTGATCAGTGAATAGAAGATCAAGAAAGCAATGGGTTGCAATATTAAAGGCAGCCGAGTATTTAGTTTAGTTGAAATATCACAGCGAGGCAGCTTTTTGAGGGCTATAGAAACAGCATTCTGGGATTGACACCCAATACTTTGCCACCCAAGTCCTTGCCTGCACTAGGTTCTGCCCATCCAGCACTCTTCACTGTTTCCCAAATAAATTTACTTCAACATCCCTGTCCTCATGTTATATCCCCTCACCCGCTTCCAGCCTCCTCTGCAAAATTCTCCCATTCTGGACACAGTACGGCCCTGTCCCTCCACTGCATGCTCAGTGGTAGAGCTTCCAAACTGACTTCATTGAATGGAGCTTTCCTCACTTCCCAGGAGCCTACTCCCACATTTTTGTTCTTAATCCTTTCGTGAGATGTCGATGTCACTGGCAAGGCTGGCATTTGTTCCCCATCCTTTAATTGCCCTTGAACTGACTGGCTTGCTGGGCCAATACAGAAGACAGCCAAGAGGAATCCACATCACTGTGGGTCTGGAGTTACATATAAGCCAGACTAGGTCAGGATGGCAGTTTTCCTTCCCTAAAGGACACTAGTGAACCAGATCAGTGTTTATGACAATCTCCATCATTACTGAGAATAGGTTTCAATTCCAGATTTAGCAATTGAAGTTAAATGTTACCATGTGCTGTGATGGGATTTGAACCTTTTGTCTGCAGAATGTGGGCCACTGGATTACTAGCCCATTGCTGTTACCATAGCACCAACATTCTCTCCAAGATACCAGTAAAATAAAATGCCCCAGGACAGTGTTGTGTGAACATTGCTCTCAAGCATGGGTTGCTACTGTTTGGGTTTTTCTATTTTACATTGGGAACCTCATAAGGCATTATAAGCTCATTCACAACAGGACATGGGCTGAGAGTAGTTCCATTCATTTCCAATGATCTTGTTACCGCCATAGGAAGAAGTCAACGATTTGTGAATAAGAACAAACAAACTGTAACCACCGGGGTTCGGTTGTACTCCCAAAGAATGTCACTCCATTTGCATTTAGCCTGGAATCACTTCATCCTTTTCCTCTGGCCATCTGGGCACCTTCCATTTTAGCCCTTTATTCCCTCGATATGCATTGCTTTTTCTTTCCTCTCTTTTGGCCTTTTTCTCTTATCCTTTGACCTTTTTAAGAGTTGAGATTTCTTTCTCTGCCTTTCTCCTGCTTCTGCCTGGCCTCAAACTGCAAACCCTGAACTCAGCTTCGCTTCTACTCCCATCACGAACCGCGCCCACAAGCTCACTGGGAATGGCTAACTTCTCAGTTAATTCAACTTTATCATCCCAGTTTTATGCAACCCCAGGTTGCTTGACATAGCGCATGCTGCACTCAGAAAAAGCTGCCCGAAAAGGAGTTGGGGTGGGGGGTGGTGGGTTACATACAATTGACTGTGAGGTTAAAACATGCAAGTGATTTGAGAGGGATGACGGATGAGTGAAAGGGATGTGATCAGAAAAAAAGCCAAAAGTAAAACAAGTAAAGATGAAATGGTTACGAAAACAAACCTTCCAACTAGGAATCGTTGATGAGAGAGCAGTGCCAGGTCCGAGGGAGTGGTTAAAGGGAAAGGGATCAGGGAGCACAGCAGGATTAGGCTCACTGCAAGCCTTTATGTCAGGGATAATGGGAGCAGAGCCAGAGAACGCAGGTGAACAGCACTCACTAGGAAGATGGTAATACACATACCCAGGCATGAACTGCAGATGGAAGAACATGATATCAGCACAGGCAACAAATGGGCAGCCACTGGAGGGTTTGTATTGGAAATGCCCGAAAAACACAACTTCATAATACCTTACACCACCCTCACAGGAGGAGTGTCCTACTATTCAATTTTGTACCGGTTAATGACTTGACCGGAAAAATCCAGAGATTAAATCATTTTTTTCTTTATTCTTCTCCGGTCAGGATTCGGTGCCTATTCCTAACTGCCCTTGAACTTATTGGCTTGTTCGGCCATTTCAAAGAGCGGTTAAGAGTAAACCACATTGCTGTGAGTTTAGAGACACACGTAGGCCAGATCAGGTAAGGGCAGCAGATTTCCTTTCCTAAAGAACATTAGTACAATTCAATATAAATCAACAATAGCTTCATGGTCACCATCATTGAGATCAGTTTGCAATTCCAGATTTATGAATGGAATTAAATTCCATTAGCTGCCATGGTGGGTTTGAACCCCAGGATTATTGGTATAGAGACATTATCATTACCACATCATCAGCACCATTATTGTTATGAAAAAATAGTGGAGGTGCTTATTGGTCATGTGAGCGACTGGTATGCTAACATTCTGTGGCTCCGAATGCTGGTCTCCTGGCAAAAAATTCTCAAATCACAAGTTACTGATCAAAACAGGGCTCTAGGGATAAGGAACAAGCACCACTGTGTCAGTATAGTGGTTCCATTTGGCAGTGGTCATCTGAGCTACTGCTACATTAGAATCGAGTAGCAATATCTAGATTGAGCTGCACTTCTACACCAAGGGAAAACCGGGCTGACAACAAAGTGATGGGGAAAGCTTCTAGTCAGATAATTGCAATTGCGTAGGATCAGCTGTCATTGGCGAATCCATTAAAGCAATCTGCAACATCAGCATTAGACAAGGGTGGCAAGGTGAAAATCTACTACCTGATCTTTGCTTCAATCACAACATCAGGTCCTTGGTCTTCCAAACAGAGACCTACCAAACTAGGAAGGGGCTTCTCAAGATTAACAGGCAGGAGGTCCCATGGCTACGAATCACCAAAACATTAAAATCCAAAGCAACATGGCAGCAAGATGGCCTCAAAGTGGCTGTGATCGCCACATGAGAAAAGCAATGTTTCAAATCAGTTTCGCTTTAACAAAATAGGACAGGGTAGGCTGAGGTTGTTTTGAAGACAAGTTGTGTTTTTTGGAACATTCCCTTGAAATGTAGGTACGAGCACAAGGCCTCCAAAGCCAGACAAACAAAATATTCATCAACTGCCTCCCACAGCCCACCATCCAAACCTCTGTCAATCTTTCCTCATTTCCCCATGAACATATTACAATAAAATTTGTGGTAAATACTGTAAGCTTTCAAAGTATTCGCAATCTTTGTATCTGTTAGACCCCCTTTGAATGTTTCTGCCATGTATTGTTGCAGCTTTATCTGTTGTGTCCCTTTAACCGTCTAATGGGATTACAATATTTTGAGTCACTGCTTAAATTTGCATAACCAATCATCAAAAAAAATCTCCAGTTGTCAGACTGGATATTCCTGTAAGTTTTCTCTCTCTTAAACTAGACAATATCTAGTTTTGCCAAGCATCGTGTTTGATAATCATGTTTTATTCTAAATGTACTGATAAATACAAGTAATCGATGTAATTTCCCATAATTATCAAGCAGGTTAAATCAATGGATAGACAAATGTGCGGTTTCTATAGGTCTATTATTTAAGTGTGACAAGCAGTGAGTAGGGTGTGATGTGGTCAGGAATTGATCCCTGTACATTCAGCATAAAATGAACAATCTGCTAATGGTAAAGTCATTGTGTACTGAGTCATACTCACATACTTAAAAAAAACAAACACTTCAAAAGCTTACAATATCAAAAAGGGACATTGCAATTGTCTCAGACATACATTGGAATAAATTAAGAAGCAACATGGGTTAACCCGTTTATTTTAGTTACATTGTCTGATTCTGGCTTTGCAGGCCCAACTGCAGAATTGGCAATGGGTACGGGTGATTCACCTTTTCACCACCTGACCAGGCTCCTGTTGTGGAGCTAGAACTAACCGAGGTAGGTGAGCTACACTCGCTAACTGACTGACACGTCTCCGATGCCTCAGAGGAAGCGGAGCTTGATGACTTCTGCCGGGCGTCCAGGGTTCAAAGGTCACACGAGACAGAGCAGCAATAAAAGGGGAAGAGAGCACATCTGGTTAGATTGTCAAACATGCAGGAATGTTCTGCAAGGAACAGAATCTGGACTGGCCGGTTCGTACCATTCTAGTTCTGAGGGCTACCCTGCGGACTGGGAAAGGGGGATAACACGGCCTGTTGATAGTATCCAAACTACATGAGCTTACTCTGAAGCTGCTGGAAACCATTCAACAAACTTTGCCAGGTAAGGCAAAGATGGGAAAATAAAGCAGCATTGATTCCCAGTTCTGAATGGATTGGCGACTGTAAGTGTTGATTTTCCAGGCTGCCGTGAGTGTCCGAGGTCAATTGATCCCATAAATGACCAATCACATGCAACGTCAAAGCATTGATTGTAAGATCCAAGCAAAGGAAGGGGTCATGAATGGGGAGGGAGCCATATTAAAGTGGTTCTATGCCTAATTCTGAAGCTGTGCACTCTGCCGTCCCCTACAGAATAAAATGGAATGTGGGATGGAGACGGCAAAGCAGAAGATGGGGCACTGCCATCATCCAAGTATTCCCAGTTCTGGTGGCTCAGTGGTTAGCACTGCTGCCTAATAGTGCTAGGGACCTGGGTTCAATTCCACCCTCGGGCGACTGTCTGTGTGGAGTTTGCACATTCTTCCCGTGTCTGTGTGGGTTTACTCCGGGTGCTCCAGTTTCCTCCCACAGTCCAAAAATATGTAGGCTAGGTGGGTTTGCCGTGGGAAATGCAGGGTTACAGGGATAAGGAGGGGGCTCTTCTGAGGATCGGTGTGGACCCAATGGGCTGAATGGCCTGCTTCCAAACTGTAGGGATTCTATGACTGTATGATCAAAAAATCACGGCCAGATCCACAGAGGAGACAGTTTGGTTCACCGCCATATGTCAGTAAAATTGCTTCAAAGCAATTCATTCCATACAAGACTTTTCTTCACCATGTATCAGTATGGAACAATCAGGAACTGTATGCTCTAAATCAACCTGGCTGTCGCAGAAACTCAAAAAGACTGAGAACTTTAAGCTGGAAAGATGACTCCATTTTCTGTATGAATGTTTTTCTGTTTTACATCAACTGTAGCACAATATTTTAAAGTTATAACAAACCTAAGTAAATGCTCGACCTGAATGAATCAACGACTTTCATACTTGGTGTTACTATTTTAGAGTTAAGTTAGTCTGGTATTGAGGAAGGTTTATTTTTAACAAGCCAAACGCAATCCAAATGATATACACAACTGATGATGCTTTGGGCACTATTGGCCTTGTAGGACCTGCCTTCTTGTAAAAACTCTGGGAAAATGATAGTTACTTGTTATCGTTGTGAGTCCGTTTTAAAGTGCAGCAAGGACACATCAGTAACATAGAATGATTTGCTGTGGAAGCCTACTGCTGTGTGTTGTGGGTTTATATATTAGCACTTTAGAATTTCTCTCCTTCTCCTCAGGACTGGCAATGGTGCGAGTGCTGAGACTGTTTATGTGCTTAAGTCAAACATGAACCCGAAACCAATTTAATGCAGAGTGCAACCAACTCAGCCACGGCTGTTACTTTGTATGTTATTGATTCAAAATGTTAAAATTGCGAACATCCTCTGATTCTGGTGTTGGGTGATTAGAATATTAGCAGTGAGAACATTGTCTCACATTACTGAGTTCTGGTTAACATTCCTGTGAAGCAACGTTCAAGGTACAAAATAAATGCAAGTGATCATACTATAGGCTTAGAATGTTTATGGTGTTAACGTTCTCTTCAAATTAATTATCAGAAAGTTACAATAACGTAAACATGTGTCTAATTTTACCCCCAAGAAATATACATTACCATCACAAATGTAACCTTGTTGCATACAATTAAACAAAATAGATCTTCCTGTACACAATTTTGTGTGTGTAGGAAGATGTATTTTGATGAATTGATTGGATCTAAGAGTGTTGAAAGCCCTGAGGTGCTTTCTGCCTGTTGGACAGGATAAATTAAAGTCTTGTCTGCCCTTTCCAGTGGGCACAAAAGATCCTACTGGTACCTTTCAACGGCATTCTCCTACATGCTGGCCAATTTTGATCCCTTAAATATTGTCACAAATAACGCCAGTTCATTATTTCATTGCTGTTTTGTAGGGAGTTTCCTGTGCACAAACTGACTGCCACATTTTCATACCTTACAATGGTAACCGCTCTTCAAAATTGGCTGCGAGGCTCTTTGGAATATACTGATGTAATATGTTAATGCAACTTCTTTCATCGACATGTTCATTGTGACTCATACATTTGACAGTGCAAGAACATTGGTTTGCTCATGATTCCTTACTTTCGGATGAACATGTCACCACCGGAATACACAGGCAAGAAGCTAAACTGTACTTACCTGGCTGGTAATATCCGATGGCATAGGTGACGGCGGTTTGGAATACATGGCGTCCTGGGAGATGAAGCCAGAGTCGTGCGAGGAGACACTGGAAAGGCGGGTGCTGGCACTCGCAGGATGGGCCAAGCTGCGGTAGCGATAGTTTGAACTTGGTGAGTGAGTTTGGGAACCACTGGAGCGAGAAGTGCTACTGTTTGTACTGTTTACACTGCTGGGGGATTGGGGAGGGGTGTGGTGGTGGTGGAAGGGCGTGAGGGAGGGAAAGGTGAGGGAGACAATTTAAGACAAGATCAGACTCACGCAAAAGAAAAATCACGCACAAAGCTGGAAGCTACAAAACAAGCAATGGGCAAGGGTGTTTGCATTGGCGTGAGGATGATACACATTGGCTCTCGTTTGGCATATGTCCTTTTCCTGTCTCCTCCCTCTCCTTTAGATTGCCACTTATGATCAGTTGGCAACGTATCTCAAATGGATGGCAGTAGAGTGTGTAGCACCACGAGTACCAAACCTCCCCTTTAGGAGGACAATGGTATAATAGTAATGTCAGTGAGCTAGCAATGCAGAGGCCCAAACTAATGATCTGGGGACAGAGGTTCAAATCTCACTGCAGTCGGTAAAATTTAAATGCGATTAATAAAATCAGGAATTGAAAATACATGTCCTGGGCACCATCAAACTATCAGCCATTGTTATAAAACCACCTCTAGTTGATAATGTCCTTTAGGGAAGGAAACCCGCCATCCTCACCTGGTTTGGTCTACATGTGACACCAGTCCCACAGCAATGGAGTTGATTCTTACGTGCCCTCTGAAATGGCCTAGTATGTCACTCATAATGGGCGGCACGGTGGCTCAGTGCTTAGCACTGCTGCCTCACAGTGCCAGGGACCTGGGTTCGATTCCGCCCTCAGGCAGCTGTCTGTGTGGACTTTGCTCGTTCTCCCTGTGTCTGCGTGGGTTTCCTCAGGTGCTCCGGTTTCCTCCCACAATCCAAAGATGTGCAGGCTAGGTGGATTGGCCATGCTAAATTGCCCATAGTGTTCAGAGATGTGTAGATTAGGTGGGTTATAGAGGGATGGGTCTGGGTGGGATGCTCTGAGGATCAGTGTGGACTTGTTGGGCTAGGGCCTGTTTCCGCACTGTAGGGATTCTGTGATTCAATGATTCAGTTCAAGGGTAATGGGGGATTGGCAAAAATGCCAACATTCTTCATTGGTCAAGGCATAGTTCTTAAGAGCAGAAAGGTTATGATGGAGCTATATAAAATGTTGGTTCGGTCAGAGCTGGAATATAGTGTGCTGTTCTGGAATCCACATTATTGGAAAGGGATAGCACAACAGAGGCTACAGAGGAGATTTACCAGGATGTTGCCTGGGCTGGAGAGTTTCAGTTATGAAGAGAGATTGGACACACTGGGGCTGCTTTCCTTGCAGGAGATTGAGAGAGGGCATGATGAAGATGTATAAAATTATGAGGAGAATAAATAGGGTAGAGAGTAAGAAACTTTTCCAATTGACGGAGGTATCAATGACCACAGGACGTAGATTTAAGGTGAAGGGCAGAAGGTTTAGAGGAGCTGTGAGGAGAAGCTTTCTCACCCAGAGCATGATGGGAATCCGGAACTCACCGTTAGCATGATGGAAACCTGTTTAACATTGAAAATTTATTTAGATGTGCACTTGCGATGCCAAGACACAAAGCTATGGGCCAAGTGCTGGAAAATGGGCTTAGAATAGTTAGGTCGTCCTTTTTTGACTGGCATGGATGCAATGGGCCAGAGGGTCTTTTTCTGAGCTTTAGATCTCTATGACTCTATCAAATGGCGTTCGAGTGATACTCAAAATAATTGTGTAGGGGGGTGCTGAGGTTGGGTTTGATCAAGTAAATATGGATAAACTGATTCCAATGGCAGAATGTTTGGTAACCAAAGACCAGGGATTTAAGGTAATTGACCAAAAAAAAACTAAAGCCACAGTAGGATATCTGTCGTGACCTGGTAAGCACTACCTGAAAGGGTGCTGGAAACAGATTCATTAATTATTCCAAAAGGGAATTAGATAAGTACTTGGAGGGGGAAAGAAAAAGAAATGACACTGCTAATGGATGAAGACAGGGATCTGGAACTAACAGGATAGCCCTAGCAAGATCCAATGCAGTCACAAGGGGCTGAATGGCCTCCTCCTGTGCTATATTATTCTATAGTTCTATCAATGTGCTCTTGAAATGGAGATAGGCACATCAACGCTAATAAATCACTTTGAGTCAACATGCAGTGGTTAACAGAGCTCACAGGAGATGATGCATGTGGTTGGTGATATGGTTGACATCAGCCTAACTGTCAAGACTCAGTCATGCATGGAATTGTCCACCAAAGGACTGTTTGGGTCATGCTGATTGTATTTCAATGACTTGTCCATGACCATAAACCTCGCTTGACAGCACTGCCTCAGAACTTCCGGTGTAATCCAGCAATCCAATCAAAAGTGTCCCCTTAATGAACCAGGAGCTTTTTCAAATGGCAGTGTCTCGGTGAGCTGATCGGTGTCATGCACTTGTCCACTAAATTAGCTGAAATAATCCACGTGCTGGAAACACATTTTTAATTAATAGATTACTGGTAGTTGGACAGCCAATTGCAAATCAAGCCAATAGTGTATCAGTCTGCTGAAGGAAACTGCAGGGGCAATGGACCAGATGTTAGTTATGTTGGCATGCAGGAAAGTCCTCAAAATATTCCATCACTTTCCACAGGTTTACACGTTTAACTAAAATTATAAAAATCATTCCCTCCTCTCCAGTAAGAATTCAGTTCAAGTTTTGGAAAATGAGCCACGTTTTCCCCAGAAGTTGTTCCCCAGAAACTGCAGCCGCTTTGTAATAGAAAAGATTTGTATCTTTCCCGAAAGCCCACATGGTGGCGGTGCCAGGTGCCCGCCACCAGCGGTGTACAGACAACTGGTTTAATCGTAATGCTGTAGACCCTGCTTTTCAATCACAAGAAGCCATCTTCCTAAACCATTAGAACTGCGATATCCTCCCTTTCTGTATTCAGTGCCGCAAAACTTACCATTAAGTCTTTGTGATGCCATGGTGCCTGAGAAGGCGAGATCAGGAACATAAGACATAAGAGTAGGACCATGTCATTTGGCCCTTCAAACTTGCTCTACCATTCAGTAAGATCACGGTTTATCTGATTGTGGTCTGAGCTCCACTTTCCTGTTTGCCCTTCCATAACCCTCAACTCCCTGGGGTATCAAAAATCTACCTTAACTCACCCTTGAATAAACGCAACGATCCATTCTCCACCAGCTTTTGGAAAAGAGAATTTTCTCAGGAAAAAAAAATCCCCTGGTCTTTCTTAAAAGATAGACCTCTTGATCTTAAACCACTCCTCCTAGTTTTAGTCTCCCTGACATGAGGAAACATTCTCCCGCTCTCCACCCTATCCAGTCTCTTCAGGATCTTATATGTTTCAATAAGATCACTTCTCATTCTTTTAAACTCCTATGGTCATAGGCCCAACATGTTTCTTTATGAGATGAGCTTTCTTTAAAAGATATCCCATGCTTCCCAGAAATGAGCTGAGTGATCCTTCCCTGAACTGCTCTGCAAGGAATTACACATTCCTTTTAAATAAGGAGGCCAGTCAGAAATATTCCCACCACAGGGCAGTGGATGTGGATGGTGATGAGGTTTCAATTGGCCTGTCCAATCATACATACCTGCACATGCTGGATTTTCGGGAACTGGAGCTGCTGGGTGAAGATGGAGGAGTCTGATAGGACCAGCTATAGTCAGACCCCTTCAGATCCTTAATCACCTACATAGGAAGCACAGAAATGGTGAAGGTTACAGCTGTGGTAGAGGACTCAAAGCCCTAAAGAAGAATGCAGCTTTCATTCTACTCTTTGAAAACAGTTCACGACAAAAACAAATGAGAACATCTCTTTGAAAACTTTATCATATGAAAAAAAACTTTATCATATTTTAAAAAAAAGGTTGTACTTTCACAGAAACCCTCCACATCCCTGAGATCTCCCTGAATGCAAACTGCTATCAATAACTTTGCAAACTTCTATGCAAGGGTACACCTCCAGACTATCCCTTCACCCAAGGGTGCTCCCCCAGACTATCCCTTCGCCCAGGGTGCTCCCCAAATTTAAACATTCCATTATTGATGGCTGTGCCTTTAACTGCCTAGGCTCTAAACTCAGGAATCCCCTTCCTAAACCTCTGTCTCTCTATCTTCCCTTAAGATGATTAACCTACCTCCCTGACCAAGCTTTTGGTTAGCTGGTCTGATATCTCCTTCTTTTACTCAGTGTTTAATTTAGACTGATAACTCTCGAGTAGTTTTAACATGTCAAAATCACTGATTATATTTTTGACAGCTTTGTGCCCCAACCACTCAGCTATTTAGTGGCAACTTGGTGTGAATAGCATTATGAAGTTCTGAATCAGCATTTTACCGTCAAGAAAACCTGTGAGACTAAGTACAAGACAAGTTTTTTCAAATGAAAGGTAAAGATGACCTTGTTTCGATTGACAGCTGTGGTAAATGGATAACTGCCGAGTCTACAAGTGGCAAGACCATGAAAATTTTCAGAAGTTGGCTTGTATTTGTATCAGTGCCAGAGATGTCAGTGTCAGACAATGGCCTACAGCTTCTGTCAGAAGAGTCTAAAATATTTCTGAATATGAATGGAGTAAAACTCACTCTAATATTTTCATATCACCCAGCTCTGAACGGAGCTCCAGAAAGAAGTGCACGTTATGAGGTCTTTATACAACTGACAAGGCAGTAATTTCCATGTATCAAATTCATACAAATTGAACAATTCAGTTGTTTTGATTTCAGCTGATGGCACTACTGAAAAGCCAGACCCTAGAGTAAGACCCGGCTTGATAGATCATATGTTTGCTTTGTTAGTTGACGTGATGGTTAACTGCAACTAACCAGAAAGCTGTGGAATTTCAATAACAACAGGACATATTTATTCCACAAAAGAAGAAATTTTAAAAAACAAGCTAAATGTAGAAAACAGAATGAATTCACAACATTGCAAAACGAGGTTTAAACTTGTTTCTTGATGGTACCTATTGCAGAGACACAAGTCTAAGAAATTATTTGTTGGTGCTCTTTAGGTAGCATTTAACTGACCTTTTAAAGTTCCTTTGCCAAAGACTGTAAATGCAATTTGATGAGACTTTTCCAAATCTGCAGATTAGTAGAATTGATGACACTTACAACGTAAGGTATAGGAGCAGAATTAGGACATTCGGCCCATTTAGTCTGCACTGCCATTCGATCATGGCTGATTATATTTCTAAATCCTGTTCTCCTGCCTTCTTGCTTTACTAGTCAAGGACCTTCCTCTGCCTTAAGTGCACTTAATAACTTGGCCTCCACCGCCTTTTGTGGCAATGTGTTCCACAGATTCACCATCCTTGGTCAAAAGAAATTTCTTCTCATCCAAGTTCTAAAGGGTCCTCCCTTCACTCTGAGGCTGTGCCCTTTGGTTCTAGTCTTCCTACTAATGGAAATATATTCCTCGTGTCCACTCTATTCAGGCCTCTCAGGATTTTGTAAGTTTCAATCAGAATCCCCCCCATATCTTTCCAAACACCATCGAGTAAGGACTCAGAGTCTTCAACCGCTCCTTACATGACAAGTTCTTCATCCTCAGGATCATACTTGTAAACCTTCTCTTGACCCCCTCCAATGCCAGTACATCCTTCCTGCGAAAAGGGGCTCAAAACTGTTCACAATATTCCAAACGTGGTCTGACCAGAACCTTATGCAGCCTCAGCAGTACATCTATGCTGTTGGATTCTAGCCTTCTTGAAATGAATGCTAACATTAAATTTGCCTTCCTAACTGCCAACTGAACCTGCATGTTAACCTTAAGAGAATCCTGAATTAGAATTCCGAAGTCCCTTTGTGCTAGAGATTTCCGAAACTTTTCCCCATTGAGAAATTAGTCTGCGCCTCTTCTTCCTACCAAAGTGCATAACTTCATACTTTCCCACATTGTACTCCATCCGCCATTTCTTTGCCCATTCTCCTAGTCCAAGTCCTCTGCAGCCTCCCTGCTTCTTCAACACTACCTGCTCCTCCACCTATCTTTGTGTCATCTGCAAACTTAGCAACAATGCTCTCAGTTCCTTTGTGCATATCATTAATGTCGAAGGTGAACAGTTGTGGCCCCAACTTGGACGCCTGCAGAACTCTCCTAGAAGACCCCTTTATCCTTGCACTCTGCCTTCTGCCAGTCAGCCAATCCTCTACGCATGCTAGCACCTTGCCCCTAATACCATGGGCTCTTTTCTTATTTTGCAGCCTCCTGTGTGGCATTTTGACAAAGTCCTTCTGGAAATCCAAATAGATCATGTCCACTGACTCTCCTTTGTCTAATTTGTTTATTGCCTCCAAAGAATTCCAACAGATTTGTCAGGCCTGGCCTCCCCTTGACAAAGATGTGCAGACTCAGCCCTATTTTATCATGGACTCCACAATCTCATTTAAGATCTTACCAATAACTGAGGTCAGGCTAACCGGCCTACAGTTTCCTGTCTTCTGCCTCGCTCCCTGCCTTCTTAAACAGGGGTGTTCCATTCACCATTTTCCAGTTCTCTGGGACCCTCCCTCCCTCCACTGTTTCCTGAAAGATCACCACCAATGCCTCTACAATCTCCTCAGCTACCTCCTTTAAAACCCTGGGGTGTAGTCCATCCAGTTCAGGTGATTTTGCCAACTTCAGATCTTTCAGCTTCCCCAACACTTTCTTAGTGATGACCACTACACGTGCCTATGAAGTTCTGGTATGCTGCTGGTGTCTTCCACCATGAAGACCGGTACAAAGTATTTATTCAGTTCTTCTGCTGTTTTTTTGCTCCCCATTACTTGTTCTGCAGCCTCATTTTTCCATTGGTCCAATGTCCACTCTTGCCTCTCTCTTACCTTTCATATATTCAAAAGAACTCTTGCAATCTTCATTTCTAAGACTGGCTAGCTTAACCTAATATTTCATCACCCATCCCCAAATTGCTATTGTTCTCTGCTGGTTTTTAAAGACTGACCACTCCTCTGGCTTCCCTCTGATCTTCACCACATTGTTTTTCCTTTTGCTTTTATGCTGTCCCTGACTTCCTTGTTAGCATTGATTGTCTCATCCTCCCTTGGTATGTTTATCGTTGCTTGGGATGGATCTCTACTATGCCTCCCAAATTAACACCCGAAACTCCCAATTTTTTTCCTGCTAGGGTCCCCTTCCAATCACCTCAGGCCAGCTCCTCCCTCACATCTTGTAGTTACCTTTACTCAATTGTAATACCTTTACTTCTGATTCCAGCCTCTTCCTCTCACAAACTGCAGGGTGAATTCTATCGTATTATGGTCACTGTCCCCTAGGGGTCAGTGCCTCCTTCACCGTCAGTTCCCTAATCAAGTCTGCCTCATTACACATCACCAAATCCAGTGTTGCCTGTTCCACAAGATGCTCAAAAGAAAATCTTGTAGACATTCCATGAAGTCCCTTCCTTGAGCTCCACTACCAACCTGATTTTTCCAGGCCACCTAGATTGTCAAAACCAACAGATTTAAATTTAATTGGTTTTTGGTATCTAAGTGCCTGGTTCAAATTGATTGGCAAAATTCAAAAACTTGGTGTCTTGGTAAAAACTGCTGCTTGGCCTGCTAACTGTATAGCCTTTTGTTTCAATTTGAGTGCTTTCTGTGTACTTGCAAATTTTGAAACTGCTGCTCACAACCATTTAAATTTCTAAGCTCAGAAAAAGCACATCATCTTTTAAAGGGACCACACAATGCTTACCCCTCCAACCCCCTAGCATTTTACAAGCACCAAATTCTAAATTCCTGCCTCCCAATCCACAAGTGCTCTACCCAATCGCAACATTCCTGACTGTGCACAGCTTACTTAGGCTTACTTATTTAGGTTCTAATATTTGTGAAAAGTTCATGTCAATAGATTTTGAACCAAGATCTCTTGGTTTAGAAGTTTTACCAACTAATGTTACCTTCTGCTGAGGTAACATTTTCTCCGAACAGCCCCGAATCCTCTTCCTAGTTGGGAAACTGGACTTGTTTCTCAACTCAATTCTAGTATCTCTTGGACTGAACTTTTTTTTTTAAGACAAGTGCTCATTCCTAGATTCTTGTAATCTGAAAACAAAGCCTTACATGTTTACTCTACCTGTTGCAAACCCAACAGTATAAACATCTTTCCATTAACACCACAGGGTTCTAGTCACCTGCATTCTGACAAAGTCTGTATTTGGTCACTATTCTGGAAGGACTCTCTGACCTTTTTTTTGTTTGTAAAAGGAAACCCCTTATCAAAGTAACCATGAATGCCTGCCTCTATTTTGAAATCCAAAGTTTGAAAAATGATGCCAATATGCTTTTCATCATACTTTTATACAATAACATCACAGCCTACAGCAAATTGCTTACTTTACAAGGTAATATTTAAACAAGCCCTGAAAATAAGGTTTAAGTTGTTTAAACCCAACATTACTAACCAAGTAATTGAGAATCACAACAAAGAGAAGGAGAGCCTTGCTGCATGGGGTATTTAACTTAAGTTCAGAGCTGGTCAGAGTAAAAAGGCACTGAGGTGATAGGAAGTAGTAAGTGAATGGAGTTGCTGTAAGGAGACTTGGGCTCTTTCATATCTAGTCAAGGTTGGGAAAAAAAAACTTGGTCAGTGTCATGTCGATCATTTATTTGAGAGCGGAAATCTGGCAAGGAAAACTTCTCATAGCTCACATTCCTCTTACATTCCCAAATGATAGTCCAAAGAGAGAAAAAGTCACAAATAAATTTAAGATTTGCTCGTTTTACACATGAAAATCAGTCAGGATCTTCAATTAAGATAAATCAATGTCACAGAACCAGTTGTTAAGATGAGTTGATGTTCAAAGTCAAAGTTCCAATTTGAGGCAGTCAGGGATGTTGAGGTAACAGAATCAAGCTCATGGAAATACAGGCAGAGAGAGAGAGAGAGAGAGAACAAAGCCAGATAGATTAATTGAATGTTTGTAGAGAGAAATAAAGCTTTAAAAAATATTTTTTGTCAAACACTGGTATTTGCTGTTGAACAGGTGGGTGTTAGGGAACTTTTATTTTTAAATGTGAATGACTTGAAGTATTGATTATATATGTTTTGGTTGTGATTACAGCAAACATATACCATTTTACATTTTAATGCCAAAGTTATCTATTATGTGGGGGAGTGAGTGTAGCGTAGAGCCCTCACTACTGCTCATTCTGTCGTGAAGACATAAATAAAATTACTTCAATAATGGCTGCGTTCTGAGTCCACAGGTTAACCGTTTTTTAGTGGAGTGCATAGTAATGTTGTCCCTGTAGTAAAACTCCCTCTACATTATCTCATCAAACTTTCCCACAGCAGGTACAGTATGAGCGTAGATACATAAAGGTGCCTCCACACTATCCCATCAAGCAATTCCAGAGTAGGTTCAACTAAGATTAGAAACAGTGTAAAACTCCTTATGCAATGTTCCCATCAAACACTTCCAGGGAAGGTAAAGCACAAGATTAGATACAAAGTAAAGCTTTCTCTATACACTGTTCCCATCAAATACTCTCCGGACAGATCCAGCATGGGGTAAAGCTTCTTCTACACTGTACCCACCAAACACTCCCAGGGGCAAATACAACATGGGGCTGGATACAGAATAAAGTTCCTTCCAAACGGCCCCAGGGCAGGTACAGCATGCAGTTAGATACAGAATAAAGCTCCTTTAAATTGTTCAAAAGCACAATCCTGTTCTCACTATTTTCAAATCCTTGCCTCTCCACTTGCACTGGTACAGAGAGCAAATTTGCCAATTAGGCTCTGTTCTGGGTCTTAGCTCGCACAACTGGTAATTAATTGGTCTTTTACAAATGAGACTGGAGAATTAATTGAGGGAAAATAGGGAGATGGCTGATGAATTGAACACTCATATTACATCAGTCTTCACTCTATGGGGTACAAGTAACATCCCAGAAGCATAGAAAGTCAATAATGGAAGGGAGGGAGGAACTCAGGAAAATTACAGTCCCACCTAGAAGTGGTCCTGAGTATATCGGTGGTGCTGTGGGCTGACAAGTTACTGGGTTTTGATGGACTTTATCCTAGAGCCTTAAACGAACTAGCTAGAAAGTTATGAATTTTACAAAGCTACCTAGATTTGGGGAAGGTCCCATTAGATTTGAATGTAACTCCTTTATTCCAAAAGGGAGGGAGAGAGAAAGCAGAAAACTACCGGCCAATTAGCTTAACGTCTGTCACAACTAAAGAAATCAGAGCAGGGCATTTTGTTGAGTTCAAGGTAATCAGTCCATATGGTTTTGTGAAAGAGAAATCATGTTTAATGAATCTATTAAAATCCTTTTGAAGAAGTAACTTGTTTTGTGGATAAAGGGGAACCAGTTGAGGTACTACACTTAAATTTTCCAGGAGGCATTTGATAAAATGCCACATCAAAGCATATGGTATAAGGAGTAGCATATTGGCATGAATAGAAGGTTGGCAGGGTAACAGGAAGCGGCCAGTAGGCATAGATTAGTCTTTTTCAGGTTGGCAAGGTGTACCAAGCAGTGTGCCACAGGAATTGGTGCTGGGACCTCAGTTGTTTACAACTCAAATTACTTGGATGAATAAATAAAAGGTGCAGTTGTCAAATTAGTTGATGAGACAATAGTAGATAGGAACGTAAGTTGTGAAGATGACGCTAGGAGCTTATAAAAAGATAGGCTCTGTGAGTGGGCAACGATCTGGCAAATGCCGAATAACCTGGGAAAATGTGAACCTGTTAATTTTGACAGAATTTTCTCAACATTGAGAGATTGCAGAGCTCTGAGATGCAGCAGGATCTAGATGCCTTTGTACACGAATGATAAAAGGTTAGCATGTAGGTACAGAAAGTAATTGGGAAAGCTAACAGAACGTTACAATTTACTGTGAGGGGGTCTGAATGCAAAAGTGGGGAGGTTATACCTTAGTTATATAGGGCACTGGTGAGACCACATCTGGAGTACTACATATAGTACTGGTCACCTTATTTCAGAAAGGATATAAATGTAGTATAGGCAGTTCAGAGGAATTCTTTCAGAGGATTGAGTGGCTTTGGAACATTCTTCCCCAAAAGACGGTGGAAACAGCGTCTTTAAATATTTTTAGGGTAGGAATGGATAGATTCTTGCTATAAAAGGGGGTGAAAGGTTAACAATAAGAGCAGGAATGTGAATTTGGTTTTACAATCAGATCAGCCATGATCTCACTCGATGTGATGCAGGCTCAAGGGATTGGATGGCCTACTTGGGCTCCTTGTTTTTATGTTAATAGGAGATTGCATTATCCTAGGGTGTGGTCTAGACTGTCAGTCCTCCAGGCTGGGCCTTACGCATGAACATGACTCAACAGAACCTCTGCCCACAGTGTCAAACGTGAGTCACCTTTGTGCTCCGAGTCCATGGCTAGTTGCTTCAGGCTGAGCCTGCAAACTTATTGCATACTGTCTACTCAAATTCATACTCACCTCTTTAACACACACACACAGCAAGTTAATAACAGAAAACTGAGAGCATTGTTGATGGTCTCTCCCTACCTGCTCACTGGTTGGAGGCAGCTTGTGAGGTTCTGCAGTCTGAACAATAAGATCATCAACAATTGCCTGTAGGTGTGTGATCTCGCCCAGCATTGCAATCTCTCCGTCCTAAAGAAACACAGATCCCGTAAATCACTTGGTTAGCCATCCTTTCTCCATGTCTAGACCCTCCAGTGATAGTGACACAAACGGTTACCTACTACAGAAATGAGCAGTATTTCAAAGGGAGATACTTCATAATAAGAAGAAAGGTAGGGGTATCATGGCTATCAACAAACCTGCCCACATTTACCTACATATTCCCACTGTCCATCCCAGTGCCCCCGAACAGTGAGCAAGAGAGGGAGACCAGACTGATTTAATCACTTGCCCTCCAGTGTACTTGATCTCCACTTTGAACTGGAATCTAATTGAGGGGTTCAGATGGTTTATATATAGAATAATGGATACCCAGGAATGTGTTACAGACTGGAATCTAATCGGGGGGTTCAGATGGTTTATATATAGAATAATGGATCCCCAGGAGTGAGTTACAGACTGGAATCTAATCGAGGGGTTCAGATGGTTTATATACAGAATAATGGATACCCAGGAGTGTGTTACAGACTTGAATCTAATCGAGGGGTTCAGACAGTTAGTATATAGAATAATGGATACCCAGGAATGTATTTACAGGTGGCTTACATATGAACTAATGGATACGCAGGAGTGAGTTACAGACTGGAGTCTAATTAAAGGGCAGGGGGGTGGTGGTGAATGATAATATTTCTTTAGGCCTGTTTTCCATCAATATACATTGGATTTTGGTTCATTTGAACCTTGACTGATAGCTGTAACAGCGGGGCGTGGGGATTAATGCTGACTCTGTATAGCCTGCAGCCTGTTTGACACACCGTTGAATTTTTATTTCGAGAAAAGTGATATTCAGCGAAGTGAGGTGATGGCCTAATGGTTATTGCTAGACAATCAATCTAGAAACCCAGGTAAGGTTTCTACGGACTGGTTCAAATTCAATAATAAAAATAAAATCTGGAATTAGGAGTCTAATGATGGCCACGATACTGTTGTCGATTGTAGTGAAAAACCCTCCAGTTCATTAATGTCCTTTGGGGTAAGGAAAACTGCCATCCTTACCCAGTCTGGCCTACATGTGACTCCAGACCCACAGCAATGTGGCTGACTCGTAACTGCCCTCTTGGCAATTAACGATGGGCAATAAATACTGCCCGGCCAGCGACGCGCACATCCCGTTAATAAATTTAAAGAAGCACTTTCACTCCCTTAATACAAAGTTGCATTTATTCCTTCAAAGCCCACTTTTTGAGAGTGTTTCTTTATTTGTTTGGGTGTGATGTAAACATCGCTGGCTTGGCCAGAATTAGTTACCGATCCCTAGTTGCCCTTGAGAAGGTGGTAGCGAGCTGCCTTCTTGAACTGCTGCAATCCGTGTGCTACTGACACACCCACAATGCTGTTAGGGAGGGAGTTCTAGAAGTTTGGCAGTGACATATTTACTATTTGCCAACATGCCATCAGAATGAGGTGAATACAATTCTGATTACTGCAAGGTATTTGCAATAATCTACAATGTGAGAGATTAGAGCGTTAGGGACAGGTTAGAATGAATGAAGGTACACACTGTAGCATCGCCAGATTAAAGATGAAGAAATTCCCATGAATGTTTTGGGTGGGGAATGTTACTGTTGGGAATTGAATCCAATCTTCATTTTACCCATGGACAGGGCAGTCACAGCCCAGGTACTAAACAACTTCCATTTTGTCCCATTCAGTAGGTTAAAGTTTTCTATTTTTACACCCAGACCTGAGGAGACAGCCTACCACTAAGTTCCTTAATCCTGATCTCAAATGTGAAATCTTCCCATTCGCCACTCCTGGCTGGCTCTGTACCACATCGACAGGCTCACTCACTCTTGGCTGCGTTAAGACTCAAGCTTGGTTCTTGTCTATCCTTTCATGGCTAGCCGCAGACCCAAGGACGAGAGACCTTCATCTCAGTCTGGCCAGGTATTTAGCTGGCTGGCACTGTGCCCCGAAACATCAAAAGTGCATGGTTCAGAGTGACATTTCCTGTTCAATGGTTTGTTCAATCATCTTTGCCAATACTGAACAGGGCCCTGGCTGCTCCTTACCACCACAGGCTGTAAGAAGGTGATGAAAGTGCAGAATCGGCCTCTCTCCTCGATCAGGGCTTTCCGCACGGCCTGCTTCTCGGTCTCCTCCAGTAACAGGTACATGTCATTCACATCCTGAACTGCGTTCTCCACCTGTGGCCTCAGGTCACCTTTACCTGGATCAGGAACATAGAAGAATGATAATTCCACCGCAGACAAATGGAGAGGAATAACAAGTTCCTGTGGTATGTGCAAGGCCTAGTTAAACAAAGGGCCTTTTCTTGTGTTTTAACTCCTTACAGGAATCTGCAGTACTAGCTCACAGCAGTTTCAATGGAGATTGCGCAGTATTTGAGGTGGGGGAGGTATCATATTGACGGAAGGGGTTTAATTCACCAGAGGCCCACCCATCTCTACCCATCTCCTCCACTCCCATTCTAAGGCATCAAATGGTTAATGGTGGCTGTAGTACCCACAATCCAGTGCACACAAGAAACAGCTCTATGACATAGTTGAGTAAGTGCACACCAGGGACCCTGTATATCCCAGGAAATCTTCAGTCCTGTGTATTTATTGTGACAGATGAAAATGCCCAAATTGTTCTTTCTTTCATGTTGTCTGATTAAAGTTACAAACCTTTAATTTTGGAACACTCGAGGGAAACTTGGGAAGGTAAACAACCTCAAGTCAGAGTTACATTCCCAGTGGGGCAAACGTCTGAAAATGACAGGTGGAATACAGATGGCTTCCTTAAAGCAAAGGGCTGAAAAAAAAAACACAGGCAACCAGTTAAACCAGACTGACAGAGGCTTAAGGTTTGGCGCAGAGCCTGTGCTTTCAGGTAGAGGAAGGGAAATCACACAAAATCTTAACCAGGGAGTGAACCTTTACTGAGAGTACACTCTCTAGTTACCAACTCCATCCCTCTCCATGGGCAACAGCCTGAGATTAAGCCAGTCTGTTTCTAACCAAGGTTGTCCAGCCTGATTCTCAGAAATTTCCGATCACAAGTTGGCGCCATCGCAGGGAATGCCTGTTCCCACTTCTGTAGCTCACCGATCTCCTCCCCTGTCCCAACTCATCTGCTGCTGAAAGCTTCCATAATGCCTTGGATTTAATCCAAGGCTCAACTGTTCTGACATACGCCTGGCTGCTCTCCCACATTGTATCCTCTGTAAACCAGAAATTGTAAATCTATAAATCTGAAATTCGGGCTGCCTGAGTCCTAACTAGTTCCCAATCTGGTTCACCCATCATCTCTTTACTCGCTGGCCCACACAGGCAATCATGCAGGATACCATTTATGATCTCGACAAGACTCATTTCTGAACTATGGAAACCCAGTTGTAGGAATTCAGACATGGAGTTGTAAGCAAGATTGGGATAGATTTGGGAAATGACAGGATGTTCCAGGAGGGGAAAGAGAGCGAAGAGAGAACTGGAGGTGGAAAAATGTGGAATATGATCACATGGAATTAGAAACAGAGCAGGTGAGGGAAAAGGAAGAACACTTAGTGTATTAGCAATTCAGAGTTGTAGTTCTCAGAAACAAATATTTAATGACTGTTACATTTTCAACCTTTTACAGATAAACGCAGTTGTTATAATTTGAATTAAGGGATTTCCAGTTGAGGTTCAAATCCTGCCACGGCAGCCGATGGAATCCAAATTAACTAACAAATCTGAAGCAAAAAAGCTCTGTAGTGGTTTATTGTTATCATTAACTCACTGACAGTTGTTAGCCTCGTTAAATGACAACTATGAAACTCATCCATTATTGTAAAACACGTCTGGTTCACTAACGCCCTTTAGGGAAGGAAATCTGCCATCCTTACCTGGTCTTGGCCTACAGGTGACTCCAGACCCACAGGAATGGGATAGACTCTCAACTGCCCTCAAGTCGCCACTCGATTCGAAGGGCAATTAGGGATTGGGAACAACGGCAACACTCTCATTCAATGAAAAAATCATTTTTAAATGCTTCATTACATCTTGAAAGAGTGGCTCAAAGTGTGGATTAACTAATACTTATCAACCCCTTGGGCAGGCTTTGCGGCCTTGACCTTTGAGTAAGTGCTCTGGGACAGATTCAGATGGTGAAAAGTGCTCCTTAAAGACACCTTTTATTGTTGGAATTCAGTTCATTTTTTTCTCTTATAGATTAACAGATCATAGAATCCCTACAGTGTGGAAACAGGCCCTTCGGCCCAACAAGTCCACACCAATCCTCAGAGCATCCCACGTAGACCCACTCCACTATAACCCACTTAATCTACACATCCTTGACACTTCGGGCAATTTTAGCATGGCCAATCCACCCTAACCTGCACATCTTTGGACTGTGGGAGGAAATCAGAGCACCTGGAGGAAACCCACGCAGACACGGGGAGAATGTGCAAACTCCACACAGACAGTCGCCTGAGGCTGGAATCAAACCCGGGTCCCTGGTGCTGTGAGGCAGCAGTGCTATCACTGAGCCACCATGCCGTCCTAAACCTTTGTCTATAGGGCTTACTGCCTCTTTCTGTACACATCCCACCCTATCCCTCCTCCTCTACTGAGGCTGTAGTGGGCTTCAGTTTCAAAAATGAAGGAGCTAGTCAGCTGGAGATGGCATCGCAACAAAAGTCAGGACTGACACCATCAAACCCACACCTTCCAGCAGGGGGCAGTGGAAGTGGTAGAGGTCTGTGTGCTCCCTTGTCCCACTGCTGCGATGCCACTAAAATTGTGGTTCACAAACTCAGAGCAGCTCATGTTCCTCTCGAGGAGTTTAACAGGAGAATTAATGTGCAGGTTCCAATTTGAAAGACAATTTCACCCAACACCCTCCAGACACCGAGCCTTGAAAACAAATTAAAACACCGAGACAAGCACAAGACCAGGGGATGCTCACCAGCACAGATTTAATCGACCACGAGGCATTCCACGGAATAGTCATGCAACAGTTTGACTTTTAACATAGCACGAGTAAGACACCAGCAAGACAGACAGTCCCCACGCCTTTCACCTCCACCTCCCTGCATACAGCCCTCACTCGCCCCACTCCTCTTCGTGATCGCCTCTTCCCTCCCCCCCCCGCCCCCCCCCCCCCACCTCTCCTGCACTCCCTCCTCCCCCAATCCAACTCCCCCGCACTCATCAGCCACTACAGGCCCCAGGCTACAGCAGTCCACATGCAGAAGAAAGATGCGTTGAACAGTCAATGTTGGAAGCAAGTGCTGGAGTTCAAGTCAGAGGAAGATTCTCCTCCGCTGTTATGAAATTTTCAAGCACCGTTCCCAATGCCCATATATCTGACAGTTCAGAAGAATGTAAAGTAATTGTATTGAACTGTATCCATTTCTTAAAGGTGCAGGAAGATGTTCTCTCTGGTTGGAGTTTTTAAGAATCGGGGGTCATTAGCATACTTTTAGGGCAAAGGTGAGAAATTTCTTCACTCAGATGGTTATGAATTGTGGGGATTTTCTACCCTAGAGGATTCAGGGATTGAATCTATTGGAGGATAGATAAATTTTAGGAATTAAAGAATATGGAAATTCTGCAGGAAAGTGGCGGCGGTGAATTATATGATCAGTCTTCATGCAGAGCTGATATAGCATGGCGTTAGATACAGAGTAATATTCCCAGGACAGGGACAGCCCAGGTTTAGATACAGAGTGAAACTGTCCCCATCGAACACTCCCAGCACAGGGACATACACAATAAAACTCCCTTCATACAGTTCCATCAAATATTGCCAACCCAACTTCAACTTTGCTCCCCACATATGCAGTCTCACTCCAAGAGACCAAGAGGTAAACACTTGACACTTAACCAGCTCAACACATGGAGCAATCTTGTATGTTCAGCACTTGCCCAGACACTGATTGTGCAAGGTGGAAGGATCGAAAATATCAACTATGAGAGCACAGAGAAAGAGACATGTCCATGTGACTTACCAAGGAGTTCTACAGGGAAAAGAGCGGAAAAGGAGAAAGGAGGAGTATCAGAGAAGGAAGAAATGTGAACATCAGTGTTAGTGACACTGGAGAAAAAAAAAAGGAGGGCACAGCTTAAAGTACACCCCCTCAACACCTCTCGATTAAACCTGACCAGTGGGGTAATGGCTCTGGAGAATATTGTCACAATTTCCACAATTTGCATGAGCGATTGCTGCGTTGAGTTTAAAATATCGATCATGCTTAGCTCCACATATATCCAAACTACCTCAGGTTGTTCAAAAACATCTCTCTGGTGTGTGAAACAGTATCCTGTGTGGAGAAAGGGCCAAGTGGACTGAGTATCAGGATACTGGATCATATTTAGAGCCACATGTAAACACAAACGGTCATCTAATCTGGCACAAATGTTTAACCTGTATTCATGACCTGGGTCTGATGTGCGCTGTCTCCATTTGCAGCTGTACCAGTGGGAGTGTCTATTACAGCAGACTACCGTCTATGAGCAGCACACCCACCTTTCCGAGCTTTCTTCTGAAGCTTGAGCGTGTCAGACGATTTCTTTTTGATCTCGTGCCTCGCTCGCTTGTACTCTGAGGGGAGGAGAGAGCAATACGTCACTGCCAGATCAGTCAGGATTTCCACCCAGGGTTCTGACGCCACGGGTACACCGAGAGACAGAATGCGAGATTCTTGATGGGGATCAAACATTCAATGGCCCAAGCTCATTGGAAGTGAATGCACTGGGACTGAATGGGACAGGCACGGACAGTTGAAAGTCTACACACTTGGAATTTTACGAAACAACTTGGCACATTCAAATTCCCATTCCCACTCTGTACCTGTTTCTACGTCGTTCCTACACCCTGCTCCTTTATCTGTAGCCTGGGATACGAGTGAAGGAGGACCCTGAATATTTCTGTACTCAGTAGAAGTCAACAGGATTTTAGCACATAGATTTCAGTGTTTGTAAGGACATAAGAATTAGGAGCAAGGAGTAGGCAACTGAACCCCTCAAGCCTGGTCTACCATTTCATATGATCATGGCCAGTCTCATCTCAGCCTCAACTCCACTTCCCTGCCCACTCTCCATAACCCTTCAACCCAATAGTAATTAAAAATCTGTCTATCTCCCCCTCAAATGTCCCAACATCCACTGCACACTGGGGTACTGAATTCCACTGATTCACGACCCGGAGAGAGAGGTCATTACTCCTTATCTCTGTTTTACATCTGTTTCCCTTATCCTGAAACTATGACATCTTGTTCTAGGTTGCTCCACATGAGGAAATATCCTCTGTATAGCTATTTTGTACCCCGTAGCATATTATACACCTCAATTAGAGCTCTCACACTTCTAAACTCCAGAGGGTAACGGCCTAAACTGCTCAATCTATCTTAGTAAGTCAAACCGCTTATCTATAGAATCAATCAAGTTTACCTCCTCTGAGCTGCAACTATATCCCACCTCAAGTAAAGGGACCTAAATTGCATGCAATACTCCAAGGTGCAGTCTTACTAATGCCTTGTACAATTGCAGCAACACTTCCCTACATTTATACTCTATTTCTTTCACAACAAATGCCAAAATTCCATTTGCCTTCTGAAATAACTCCACAGAGACTGGTACCCTGTCACCAAGTCACCCCTTGTTTACATGTGGAGAGTCCTTGATGCTGATCCAGCTTTCTCAGCGCCAGCTTTCAGACTGAGCAGAATCTGACACTCCTGTTTATATCTGTCAGCCTGGGCTTCCTGATTGGGCCAGATTGACCACCGAGATCAAGGAAATCATATTCTATGAGGTCCATCTGGCTGACCTTGTTATAGTCACTACACCTTCTTTAGTAGCTGCTTACCTGCATACTAGTTTTCTACAATTCACGCATAAGGGCACCCAGATACCTCTGCACCAAAACATTCTGAAATTTCCCTCCATTTAGTAACCTTATCATGTTTTATAAAATCGTGAGGGCCATGAATAGGGTGAATAGTCAAGGTCTTTTCCCTCAGTGTGGTGGAGTCCAAAACTAGAGGTTTAAGGCGAGCGGGGAAAGATTTAAAAGGACCCGCGTGGGGGGATAGCTTTTTCACACAGAGGGTGGTGCATGTATGGAATGAGCTGCCAGAGGAAGTGGTGGAGGCTGGTACAATTACAACATTTAAAAGGCATCCGGATGGGTACATGAATAGGAAGGGTTTAGAAGGACGTGGGCTAAATGTTGGCAAATGAGGCTAGATCAGATTGGGATGTCTGGTTGACATCTGTTTGGACCGAAGGGTCTGTTTCTGTGCTGTATGACTATTTAGATAGATTGCCTTTCTATTCTTGCAACCGAAATGGATAACCTCACACCCAGCCACGTTAAACTTCACCTGCCAAATTTTGGCCCATTCACCTAACCTGTCCATATCGATTTATAAATTTCTTACTTCTTCATTGTAACCTGCCTTCCCACCTAACTTAGTTTGCAAATTTGGCAATGGTACCTTCAATCCCTGCATCCAACCCATTGATATAGATTGCAAATAATTGGTGCTCAAGGACCAAATCCTGTGACATCCCACTAGTTAAATCTTGCCAACAAGAAAGAACCCACTTATCCCGACTCTGTGCTGGCTAGCCAATCCTCTATTTATATATAGTAAAAACAAGATTGCTGCAAGACCTTTTAGCGAAAGCAAAGTGTTTGCTTCACGTCTCCCCGATCATGTGATGAAGTTGATGGGGATGGCATGGAAATGACATAAAACAAAGCTTTGCTCCATTAATGGTGTGTGACCAGACATAACAGGTAACAAATGGTCAGAGTTGAGGAAAATTGGACCTGTTTGTAGACTGAGCAGGTCAGTAGTTTACAAGGTACAACAGCACCACCCAGTGGCAAACTGAGGCAGCACACCACAGCCATTTGTTCTCTCAAACCTCAGAAGTCAAATAGGAGCGGGAGCTTTGGATCTTGGTATTGTTCAAGGTAAAACATACTAAATTAGAGAAGGAAGGACAAATGAGAAAGGGAGAAGAGAGAGAGAGAAGGTTCACAATCATACCTTTGGCGTGGTCCTTATCCAGCTGATTGGCTGATTTCTTCCAGTCCTCTATCCTATCCTGCAAAGGGTTTATCAGACTCTCCATCAGGGCACTAGGAAAGTAAACAGCAATGTACTAACTACGACACAGAGACACAGAGAAATTGAAGCAGCATTGGCAGCTCTGAGCGTGGCATTGCTTTGAACAGGGGCATGCTCCCAACAAACCAAAATAAAATACGCCATTCCTGTGCGCTCTTTCCAATGAAAGCCTGCAACTTGTTTTCACTGAGGACGAAGAATCCCGATGTCCCATTTAATTTTTCCAAAAGACGTGGGGCAGTCCAACAGGGACTGGCCACCTTCCAGAACTTCTCCCCGTGTCTCTCAGTTCGGATTTTCCTGTTCACCTGTATCAGCAACTACAAGGTGCATGAGGACTAAATGTAACACTCACCATTCGGGAAACTCACACAGGTAAATGGGAGAGAGAGCATTACCCTAGTACCTTCGCACCACCACTGACTCCCACAGCGGCACCCATTTCCTCAACAAACGTGCGAGCAAAAGCGTGACAGAATCAAATTTGGGAAAATGTGAGGTGATGCATTTTTGGAGATCTGATGCAGGAGGGAAGTATGCAGTAAGTGGCAGAACCATTAGGTACATTAACGTACAGAGGGATCTAGGCATATAGGTCTACCGTTCCCTGAAAGTGGCAACACGAGTGGATAAGGAAGTCAAGAAGGCATAAAGCATGCTTGCCTTGACTGGCCGGGATATAGAGTATAAAAATTGGCAAGTCATGGTGCAGTCATATACAACTTTAATAAAGCCATATTCAGAATATTGTGTCGAGTTCTGGTCACTACAGTACCAGAAGGAAGTGGAGGCTTTGGAGAAGGGACAGAAATGGTTTACTAGGATGTTGCCTGGTTTGGAGGGTATTAGGAGAGATTGGATAAACTTGGTTTGTTTTTCACTAGAGGCTGAGGGGTGACCTGATAGAAGTTTACAATATTATGAGAGGCATGGATAGCAGAGATAGTGGGAGTCTTTTCCCTCGGGTAGAAATAAGGTGGAAAGTTTAGAGGAGATGTGACAGACGAGTCTGTTACACAAAAGGATGGTAAATGTCTGGAATGCGCTGCCAGAGGCAGACACAATAACAATGTGTAAGAAGCATCTTGGCACGTAGACGAATAGGTGGGAAATAGTGAGGTACGGGCTGTGTAGAGGCAAAACGGTTTGAAGTTTAGAAAGTCGTCGTGTCAGCGCAGGCTTGGTGGGCTCAAGGGTTCATTCCTGTCCTTTGCTTGTCCAGTTCTTTGTCCTTTTTGTTCTTTGATACTGGTACCCAATGCAGCAACTAACCTCAACAACACCTGACAGTGATACCCAACTGCAGCACCTATATCCACCCTACCGTGACACCCATATTGTCAACAGTATCGCAGGGGCACGGTGGCTCAGTGGTTACCACTGCTGCTTCACAGCGCCAGGGACCTGGGTTTGATTCCACCCTTGGGCGACTGTCTGTGTGGAGGTTACACATTCTCCCCGTGTCTGTGTGGGTTTCCTCCGGGTGCTTCAGTTTCCTCCCACAGCCCGAAGATGTGCGGTGTAGGCGGATCAGCCGTGGGAAATTTCTCTATAGTGTGCAGGCTGGGTGGGTTAACCATGGGAAAGCAAAGGTGGGGGTGGGATGCTCTTTGGAGGGTCAGCGTGGACTCGATGGGCCGAATGGCCTGCATCCACACCGTCAGGATTTTATTCCATAACCAACACCAAACATTGACACTCCCTGTAGCAACCCATATCATCGATAACCTCAGGCTCTGACACCCACGACATGACCCTCATCCTCCCCTGGCACCAAATCTGGCTACAGCACCCATATCCTCCCCAACACAGTGCTGATACCCACTGCAACACCCAGAGACCTCTCCAGTCCCAGGATTCAGTGCCACAGGGACCACGTTTTTGTTTTCATCAGAGATGACTAGAAATGATTTATTGGGTCAGCCACTTTGTTATTCGCTCGATGGGGTGAGAGACAAAGGCTTGGCCTGCATTTATCGCCCACCCCGAACTGCTCTGGGGTGGGTGCGGTGGGAGCTGGCATGTCGCCGTTGTACGTGAGGAAATGCTCACTTGGTGAAATGTCGGAGCTTGGCTTCGATGCTGCGATGTCTCATGCACATTCGGGTCAGAGCTGAGCCGATCTCTCGAGTGGCACCTAAAAAAACAACGGCACAAAACTGGCATCAGTGAGGTGCAGAATCCAGCAGAGGGCAGTAGAAGACCACGGCAGCAGCAGCAGTATAAGGGAGAATAACTAATCCTGAACAAAACCTGCTAAAGCAGTGGGATCATTAACCTGGTCCCTGTTCGCTGGATAGCTCCAAAGCACAGATTGCCAGCCTTTGGGTTCTTTCCTCAATCAACCTGTTCAGACGCACCTCTGGAACAGGTGGATCTTGAACCTGGGCCTTCTAACCCAGAGGTAAGGACGCTACCACCGCACCACAACAGTGCACCCCTCCGTGCTGTTGATTCAACCTGTAGTCACCAATTCCGCCTCTCGGAGGCTGGAGTCATTAAGAAGCTCATACACAGGAGCTCACAGGTTCAAATCCTATCCGGGCTGGATTGGAATTAATAATGCATTGGATATTGTTGTATACACACCATAGAATCTAGCATGGATTAGATGGGCCGGTCGGCTGGAGTATGCTGTCCATTCATGTCTCCTCTTATCTTAATTTTGTTACATTTTTGATTTTTTTATTATAAAGCATATAATTTCTACTCCTTTCTCCCTCATGCGCTCAGTTCGCGTCCCTTTACAATCAACATGTCCGGCAGCATCTGTGGGAAGAAAGCAGAGTTAACATTTCAAGTCTCCACCAGAAACCTGACCCAAAATATTAACTCCGCTTTCTCTCCACGGATGCTGCCGGACCAGAGTTTCTCCAGCAATTCCTGTTTTTGTTTCAGATCTCCAGCACCCGCAGTTCTTCGCTTTATATCCCTTTATATTCAGTTTCTGCAGCAACAGCGTATACTTAAGTAGCATCTTTGACACAACTGAACATCCCAAGGTACTTAGGTGTAGAGCTGGATGAACACAGCAGGCCAAGCAGCATCACAGGATCAGAAAGCATTTCTGAAGAAGGGTCCAGGCCCGAAACGTCAGCCTTCCTGCTCCTCCTTTGCTGCTTGGCCTGCTGTGTTCATCCAGCTCTACACCTTGTTATCTCAGACTCTCCAGCATCTGCAGTTCCTACTATCTCTCATCTCAAGGTACTTCGCAGAATGATTATGGAACTGACTGCAACACCGAGTCACACAATATGATACTAGGTTTAAGGAGTGTGCTAAAAGGAAGACAGCGATGTCAGGAAAGTATCAGTTTCCAGTACTCCCCGTGGTCACCAGCTCCACATTCTCACCGCTCCTAAAGTTCTTCTGAATTCTCAATTGGACTGTCTCCTGTTGATAACCTCTGTTTCTGTTCCTCCCCACAGGGGGGCGCATTCTCTCCAGCATCCATTTTATCAAAACATTTCAGAGGTTGAACGATCCCCATTCGCTCAGTGCACAGACTCTGGCTTTCTCAAAGGAAGAGACGCAGACTCTGCATCTCATTCAGGGGAGGCGACGGCCTAATGGTATTATCGTCAGAGTGTTAATCCAGAGACCCAGATAACATTCTGGGGACCTGGGTTCAAATCCTGCCATGGCAAATGGTGGAATTTGAATTCAATAAAATATCTAGAATTAAGAATCTAATGATGACCATGAACCCATTGTCAGGGAAAAACCCATCTGGTTCACTAATGTCCTTTAGGGAAGGAAACTGCCCTCCTTACCTGGTCTGGCCTACATGTGACTCCAGACCCACAGCAATGTGGTTGACTCTGAACTGCCCTCTGGGCAATTAGGGATGGGTAATAAATGCTGGCCAAACCGGACAATAAAGGGAAAACTAATCCAAAACAGTTGGTCTCTACAGCCCCTTGACCTTGACTTTAGCAGGGATGGATCAGAAAGGGTCTTTACCCAGTTGTCACAGCCAGGAAGAGAATGTCTCATTAATAGGCACAAGTGAACACGGCCTTATTTCACTGTATAGATTTTAATAACATATGAATTACGCTGTTAAAATACTCAGATAAAGGGCATTGATTTTCAAAGTACCTAGAACACTTATAGTTGAGGGGTCTTGTGGTGCAGTGGTAGCGTTCTTGCCTCTGAGCAAAGATCCCCAGGTCCAAGCCCCCACCTGCTCCAGAGCTGTGTGTCATTAACATCTCTGGACAGGTTAACTCGAAAATATCTGGAAGGGAGATGGAAACAGGGACGCTGCTCAGGAACAGGTTTCTCCATCTGCTGGCTGAGGTAGGGGAGGGCTTAGGGTTGCTGGGCCGAGCAAGTGTTGGGGATGTGCTGGATGGCAGAGGGGCATGCTGGATGATGCCAGTGCAGCTGGCCGAGAGGGCATCAGCCAACGTCCAGTTATTGGCCGGAGTCATCCACAGCTTGGAGGGACGAGGTGCTCAGCCCCAACTCGGGCATGTGGTGACCCCTGTCCATCCAGAATTCTAAGGGCCTGCTCTTGGGTCTGCTCCTGGGCCTGGCCATTAAAAAGTCCAGGAAGTGGGCACAAGGTGGGCTCGTTGTTCCTGACTGTCTGTCCCTCTTTCGCGGTTATATCCACACTCGAGTCCCCTGGAGGGGGAGCAAGTGGTGGTCACCTGCAAGGTCGAGACTGATAGGCACCACAGGGGCTGGGGGTGCATCATCAGCCCAGACCTTACTTTAATTTACCAAATTTATGTTTCATTAAGTTTACATTCACCTGTTAATTTGTGCTTGTTTCCAATAGGGTGCCCAAGCAGGGGCAGCCTCACTTTATTATTTTTGACTTCCCGTTTAATAACAGAGTTGACAGAACTTTATTTTCAGTTTAAGAATCAAGATGGCTTTACTCTGTATCTAACCCTGAGCTGTCCTTGTTCTGGGAGTGTTTGATGGGGCTAGTGTTGAGGCAGCTTTACTTTCAGTTTAAAAAAAGTAGAGAGAGCTTTACTCTATCTAACCCCATGCCGTACCTGTCCTGAGAGAGTTTAATGAAGACAATTTTGAGGGAGCTTTACTTTTAAAAAAGTGAAAGGGAGAGTGTGCACGTGAGAGGGAGAGGTCACACACGAGGGATAGAGCATGCGAGAGAGAGAGAATGAGTGTGCGTGCGAGAGAGAGAATGTGAATGTGAGCGCAAGAGAGAGAATGTGAGTGTGCGTGCAGGAGAAAGAATGTGAGTGTGTGCGCGAGACAGAGAATGTGAGTGTGCGTGCGAGAGAGAGAATGTCAGTGTGTGCGCGAGAGAGGGAGTGCACGAGAGCATGTGCGCGTGAATGTGAGTGAAATCCTATCTGTAATCAACCCGCAGTGCAAGCATTTTTAATATACAGACAATAACATGACCTCTAACTGCATACAGATACCCCCTCCCAGCACCCACCAACCATGTGAAGATAAGACCACAGATGGATGGATGGTTTGTAGTGTGTGGAGCGACACCAGTGTAGAGATTCAATTCTCATCCCAATTGAGGTTTCCATGAAAACCCCACCTTCTCAAACCTCACCCCTCAACTGAGGGGCAGTGACCCTCAGATTCAGCTCAACGGCAGTTGTCTCTCTCTCTATACTGAGGGAGCAGCCCTCTAACATGATGGTAATTTTGGTTGCCACAGAAGGTATCATGTGTTTGGGAGAAGCACCATCTGCTGCCAATTGCTCCAGCCAGCTGCGTTGACTCCAAATTTACCCGGTCACCCTAATCCTCTGAGCAGATACGGAGGTCATGTGAAGGAAGTGTTTATGTTACAGTGACAACTGTATGTCTGGGATTGCAATAAATCCCTTTCTCTTCACAATCTAAGTAAAGACATAGTGTTCTGCTGCAAACTGTTCAAGAGAGAATGACAAACATGTGTTCAGTGACATGATAGGCACATGTTAATTTGGGAAAAGGGGGCTCCTCCCACTTCAACAAACAGTCAATAATTAGCAAATTGGCAGAGCCTTCCCGTGGAAGTGGTTGATGAAAGGTTCTGGAATTTTCTTCACGTTATAAATAATCATCGCCATCCGAATTACTCTCCAGGAAATCAGAAGCAGCTGTCATTCTGTGGATAATTGGAGTTGGACATGTAGGCAGGGGGAAAAATGGGGTTAGAACACAGTTCTACCAAGTCAGAAAAGACAGTGTGTACCACCGGCAGGATAATTGTAACAAAAACAGGTTTAACCATAAGAAGCTATTTCAGTTCCTGAAGCACACAGCACCAGAGTCCGTCTCATATTTAATACACAGTCCTCACACCAAAAGTTACATTGAAATTGAAACCCTCATTAATCTACTTATAACAAGTTTCTGCCATGAATAGTGTTTGCTCATTGTATCTGTATCTAACCCTGTGCTGTCCCTGTCCTGGGAGTGTTAAACAGGGACAGTATAGAGGCAGTTTTACTCTGTATCTAACCCTGTGCTGTCCCTGTCCTGGGAGTGTTAAACAGGGACAGTATAGAGGCAATTTTACTCTGTATCTAAACCTGTGCTGTCCCTGTCATGGGAGGGTTTGATGCCATGGAACATATTCTATATTCCATATGAATGAGAAACAGAGAAAGGCGGCTCAGCCCCCTCGAACCTGCTCCACCATTCAATTAAGGGGATGATTGAACTGATTCCTTCACATTCCTCACTCCCCCATGCCTAATAGCCTTTTGCCTTCCTCATGAAGAATCTAAATGTACCTTTAAAAACGTTCAAGCACTTTCCTTCTACCACCACTTCAGAGTTCCAAAGACTCACGATACTCTGTCGGAAAATAAATTTTCCCATCACTGACCTAAACGAGTGACCCATCATTTTCAAACGGTGGTTCTGGATTGTCCCACAGGAGGAAACATCCTGTCTCACATCAGTCCTCTCAAGACCACTCAGGGTCTTATATGTCTGAAACAAGTCGCTCCTTGCTCTTCCGTACTCCAGTGGAAACATACTCAGTCTGTCCAACCTTTCCTCACAAGAAACTCACTCAAGGATTTGTCTTGTAAAGCTTCAACACATTTTCATGCTTCCTTAAATAATGTAATCAATACTGTAGATAGTTCTCCAGATGTGGTCTCACCAGCACCCTCTGTCACTGAAGTGTAACCTTCCTAC